TCTGTTGAGAGCAAGCCCACCTAAACGGATTTTGCCAAGTCACACCAAGCGGGTGCCTTACCCGAAACGTAGAGCTGGGTTGAAGTTGTGGGTCTGGAAGCCTCTACTAAATTTGGAAGTGCTGTTCAGATTACCTCCTCCAGCTGCTGGAGAGATTTTCTTACAAACAGTTGGCTACTCAAATACCTCGTGCCTCCCTGGAAACTGCCTCTATCTCAGCTTTCGAGTCCAGCCAGCCCTACCTCAGTCATCGCTGTGTTTGATTCATGCCATCTACATCCTGTAGCGCTCCCAGCAATTGACAAATTACGGCTCCAGCGAGACTATCGGGTTAAACACCAAGGAAGCAAGAATGATGACAGTAATACTTGTCATTTGTGTGGAGATGTAGCAACATAAAACCCTCTCTCCAACATCTGTTATCCTGGAGGAATCTTTCCAAAGGATAGGCTTTCTGAGAAACGTTTATGACTTTTGAACACATGATAGGCATGAACTTGACATGACCTACTTTGGCCAAGCCCTGGGCTTCAGCCTGGTCTTTTACCACCACAAATCAGTCCATTTGAAGGGCAGTCAGACTGATACCTTCACCGAGATGACAAGGTTACAGCACATACCAGCTTAAGGAAAAAAAAACCCCAAACCCACAGGATGAAGAGCACTTCGTTATTAGGATTTAAAAATTCAGAAATCTTTTTACTAAAGCCAGAGGAAAATAGTTATGTTCTACCTATACTTAAAAGCCAATACAATGGCTGGGATGATTAAAATATTCAATATATCATTGAAATGAGAGCACTGACATCCTTATACCATACTCAAATCCCTCCTTTATCTTGCCATTGGAAAATACAAGGAAAAGCAGAGGATATAAAGGCTTTCTACTAAATATCCTAGACACAAGAGTTGGTTTTTCCTCCTGACTTGCCACAGCATCATGCTGCAGGGTTTTGTGTCGCCCCATCTCAGCCTTCACACCACACCATCTCAGCTTGGTCTCCTATCAATGTAATGCCAAATTGTTAAATTACACTGGCTTTTGAGTTTGTTGTTCTTTAATTAAATACTACAGTGTTGGAGAAAATGGATAAAAGGTGGTGCATGTTTCCAAAGGCTGAGACACCTGTCTTAAGGCCCTCTCCTCAGCACGGCACTGAACAGCACAAGTTATGTTACGGATAAAGCTGTAGTCACTGAATTAACTGAAAAACAACAATAGTGTCCACAGTATATGTGGTCCACAGGGGCATTCACTGCTGGGAAGAGAGGAAGCCCAAACAGCCAGGAAGGAGAAACTCTCTGGGACCTTCTCCAGGACCACTTGCCTTTCCTCCTGGGACAGTCCATCTATAGGGAACCACCGACCTGGCTGCTCTCGCAGCCTGGCTGCAGCAAAGCCACTCACAGGTTCCGGAGATGTGGGCGTGGCGTGGTGACACGACGGCCACGCTCTAGGTCACTCGAGATGGTCAGAACGACCTTCTGCTGCTCTGCGACAGGCCTCTTGGATTGCAGTTCTCCTGCTAGTCACGATTGAGGAAATTCTATTACACTGCTCAGATACAATTACAGTTGTAGTACAAACCTGTCCAAAATTAATCTAAATATAATGGTAAAATTTCTCCTACGTGATGGAATAATTACTGCAATACAACTCCAGCAGGGCAAAGATCAGGAATGTTTCATACGAGTACCATTCAGAAACCAGCATTTTAAAATTGTATTGCTCATTCATACGACGCACGTAGCAGAAACAGATATGCTACAAAAAGCAAATAAAGAGGAATTGAGCTGAGAATCATTAAAAATATATTTTTAAAATGGAGAACCACCACATTATTACATACAATCATTTTCCTTTCACACTAATTTGTTTTAATCTATTCATGTTCCTTATAAAACATTACGCAAAATTTTAATCATAGCATTGTTTTCTTTAAATATGTGCATTTCAGTAAATGACACTTGCATGTATAAATTCAGTGAGTTAAAATGTTAGACTGGCGCTAGAACCGAGCAGTCATTTGTTCTGAAAAAAACTGCCTTGTTTTCCTGTCTGTAAATTTTCTATGAAAGCTATTATTTTTTTCAGTGTATTCATTATTCATCATACTAGCTGAATATTCCTACAGAGACTTCTCTGCTTTTGAATCATTCACAGCCTGTTAGTTCCAATTATTTCACATTTGAAATTTGAACCCCAGGCCTTCCTTCTTACTGGACACAGAGTTTACATGAACTGATGCTGTTCTCCAGTTGAAAAAAACGTGACCAGGACGCAGATGGAAGAAGTCTTGTACACAGAGTCAGCAGTTCACGTCTGTGTTTCAACAGGAGTAAATTCCTTAGCTATAATACAAAAATCAATGTGAGCACAAGCTGAAAGTCATGTTAGGATAACTCTGAAGCAGCACACCCATCTTGTAAACACCATTATTCCACAGCTTTTGACGGCCACGTAGCACACACCACCTTCTTCGGCCAAGCCTACACAGCTATGTTCCCTTCGAGAAAGACAACAATCTTAACAGCAGGCTGAACCCCACAACATTCCCAAGACTTTTGGGCAGCGCCCTGTAACTCTCCACTCTCATGAAGCTTGGGAAAGCAAGGGTGACAGCAGCCTTCAGTCCTCTGAGGCTAGGTAATACAAAAATCACAGTATTTACACAGTGGAGAAGGTGAAAGGCAGGGAGAACAGGCAGTACTAAGTAAGAAAAAACCCGAAACAGTTGAGAGCAACTTTATAGGGAGCGAGAAGTGCCCTAGAGTGGTCATTAGCCACGCTGCAAGGAACAAGATACATCAAAAAAAAGGGGAACATTTGCTGCAGATATTATGAGGTGGGAAGGATTGGAGGAGGCTGTTATTCTTGAAAGCATTTAATGAACTGGCAGATGGCAGCGGGAGCTGGGCAGACCTGGAGCAGTAGGCACCGGGCCGGGGGAACAGTGCCAAAGAAGCTATCAATAATCAATGGGAGAGGTCCGTTCCAGTCTGGGATTTCCTCCACGCCTCCTCTTGCGTAAAGCCATCCAAAATGGGTGAGAACATCTGCTTTTGTTTTCACAGTAAAAGCTGACACTGGAAGAGATATGCACGCTTGGGAGGGGCGCACATTCCACAGTGGAGCTCTTTGTAAGACAAACAATACAAGACCATCCTGGGAACACCATTATTTGGTGTAAGTTTGCCATATTCAAGAGGATAAGGCTGCCTGTGAAGGTGGCAGAAGGTGCTGGACTGGAATAACTCTTGGCAGCTGGGTGGCAAGGCAAGTCACCCCAAGTGCATGGCAGCAGGGGACTTAGTTGCTCCATTTCTCCTTCAGCAAAACAGTGGATTGATATAAAGGCACAACGAGCTCCCAAAGCAGGCTAGTCTTCAGACTCTGTCTTTGCACATGAAAAGACAAATATTTTTAAACAAAATTACACCAAAATGAGAACTTCGGGCTAGTGAAAGTACCTGGATGGGAAACTGGGGAAACGTTTCACCACAGTCGATGTTTGGCAAGAAATTGTCAATGGAGGTGCTTGAGCAGGAAGACTTATTTGTAAATGATAGAGGTGTTCAGCAGAAAGATGGAAGATTTCAGGTGTGCTGTCCTGGACTGTTCTAGCCAAACCACCCCTCTAATCATTTATGCAAAATACATTCAGTAGGCAGTGCCAGAGCAACACTTTGACTCATTGACTGCAACCTCACCCATGTCCTAGACAGATACTTCTGTTCTAAAGCTGCATAAGTTGACAGACTTCCTAATGTCTCTGTAATCCAGATGCTTCACTAATTTTCAGAACATAGGAAAATACATATATTTTCAATATTTTCTTAAAACAGAGCTCTGGTAAAAGTAGAATTTCTATTCTCCTCTTTAAAAATCCTCCCAACGGTTCAAATCTATCGCTAACACAAGGAACCAGCATTTCAAAAGAAACCTACCACACGGGAACAGAGTCATTCCAGAGATAAGCTGATGCCCAGAAAAGTGTTTCTCCTTGTAACTGAAGTACTTACTTCAAGATTAGAAATGAGACAGTTCTTGGAAGGGGCAGAGAGGAGAAGAATGCAAATGAAACAATCTGTTTAAAAAATGTATTAATGCTCTTATGGATGGCAGCTAAAATCACTATAACTTACTCATGCAGATTTTTTCTGCCATGAACATTTGTCATAAGGACAAGTATGGCTGGTAACTACCATTGGAAAGAACCACAATACTCCTCACAGCGTTTCCCCTGTTGAAGCTGACAATTAAGAGCTAACCAGTGAATAAGGTTTTGCATGACCAATTCTGTTCAGCTCAGCTCAGTTTGTTGAGCAAATTATAAAAGACAGATCAGATAAAATATCTATAAGGAAGTCCTAGTTACACGGTTCAAGGAAAAGCTCAGCATACTGTATTAGTAATTTATTTCTATACCCACTCAGTAGCTACATTTACACAATATATTTTCCATAGCGTTACCTCTTTCCATTCAAAAGCAGAACTCTCGTGCTGGCATCTCAAGGACTGGGCTATTTCACTGCAGTAATAATAGTGTCTAGAATTCCGCCTACCTATGAAAAAAATCTTTAAAAATATAATTGTGACGTTTTAATCAACTGTTTGTCATACCTAGAAAGATGGGTTGAACAGTCAGGTCAAAATAAGCCTGCTGAGGCCCCAAGCCTAGTTGTTTGCAAAAGCTTTCGCTTCCAATTTGCCTTAATAATATTAAACTTCATGTTAGAAGCACAGGCTTTGAAATCATTGTCTGAACCACAGCACGGGACTACGTGAGCCACTGGACTCTCATTGTTCAGATTGCAACTGTATTCCCAAGTCTAGTCATGGCCTCTGCTGTGATAAGCACAAACATACAAGAGAAAGACAGTATCTGCCCCAAAAAGCTTACTACTGTGACCGTGCACAAACTTTGCTGGGGGGAAGGGTAAAGGTGACCTCAGACATGTCTCTAGCTGGTGGTGAACATCTGCCCTTGCCTTCCAGGATGGCCTGGGACTACCCATGCAGCAAGGACCTCCTGCGCCCCACGATACGGAGTGTCCCGCGACGGAGGACGGGCAGCCCGCACTGGGCTGGGACCCCATCCCTGGAGGAGCTGCGGAGCCTGCTCTGGACATGCACCCAGCCCACCGGGCACGTGGACGAAGTCTGGCCAAACCTCTACGTGGGAGACCTGTAAGAGAGAGGGAAGGGGTGAAGGTGCTAACACAACTCTTAGCCCCCACCCTACCTGCCCCAAAATCTTCCACTCCAGGCTGCCCAGGGCAGTGTTGGAGTTACCATCCCTGAAGGTGTTCAAAAAACATGTAGACATGGCACTTCAGGACATGGTTTAGCAGGCATGGTAGTGACAGGTTGACGGTTGGACTTGATCATCTTAGAGGTCTTTTCCAACCTTAATGATTCTATGATTTAGAAAAGAGAGCTAGGCACTAATCTGGGGACCCTTCAAAATAAGTCTAAGTGTTGAGCAGACTGAACCATGCATAGGATGCTGCAGCATAGAGAAAAGGCATTCCAAGTATCCGAAAAGAATACTCCCCCTCCTGACTTCTCCTCCTGCATTACTGCAGGAGTCCCATCCTGCAAGAGCCTGGTGGGGCCATGGCATCGGTCCTGCAGGCAGTCATGCCAGAGCTAGGTCAAACAGGATCGACCTCGTTTTCTCCTCCCTTTGGCATCAGTCCCCCGAACCGATGGATGCTCAGCAGAGGTGACTTGGTGAGAAAGCGAACCAGAACACTCTTGGCTTCTGCAGAAACATCACCACCACCACCTTTTTATTTTTCATCAGCTGAGAACCACCTAAACTGATGTTTGGGAGAAAAATGCAGGCAACGTAAAAGTCATTTTCTTAAGGAGTCAGTTCTGTCTTGAGGCATTTTGGACCTGATCAACCTGTCGGAAAATAGCCACTACAACTTCACACGGTTGTAACAAACTGCACCATCAGCAGCATGTTCTACCCTGCCTTGTAATGCAGCAGGCAAATATAACTCACCGTCCTTCTTCCAGGTACGTCGCCCGGGACAAAGCGCAGCTGAGCCGAATGGGCATCTCCCACGTTGTGAATGCCGCTGCTGGGCGATTTCGCATCGACACTGGTCCCAAGTTCTACAAAGACCTGCCCGTGGATTACTACGGAGTAGAAGCAGAGGACAACCCAAACTTTGATCTCAGCATTTATTTCTACCCGGTTGCTCGATACATAAGAGCAGCACTGAATTCCCCAAGAGGTAACTAGACCATCTGTGCATGTTGTGTATCTTCTGCATAGGAGCCAAATAGGGCAAGTTAGTATTTGGCATAAACTCACCACCTGCAGAGGAGGGTAAGGATGGAGATACCTGAACCAGGTAGCATCACGCCTGCCTCCTGAACTCCCACAGTGAGTGGGAGTTCCCCTGAAAGAAGGAAGGATGCACTGAACGGGCTTTCAGAGGGGTTCTCCCTAGGCCTAGTGCAAGTCATTAGCAAAAGACAAAATAGCAAGTATCCTTTATCACCTACGGGGACACACTGACCCGGGAGAAGGCAAATACACTTGATCTTTTCAAATTAGTGGTGGCGTTTAAATTAAAAGCTGGGATGGGGTAAAAAGACAAGGGCAAGCACCACATCTAAGTAAGAAGAGCCAACCATAATGCTACATCCGGCGGAATTCCATTGAACACAGGATAGGGAAGAACTTGCTGGGAAGCAATTCTGTGGAAGAGAACCCAAGCAACACCACCAGCCAGGAGATAATGTCGTGCTGTTGCTAGGGGGAATATAACCTTGAAATAGGAAGGTAACCTGCAAAATCCTTGGGCTCGCTGAACACAGGCCAGGTATGATGCCAGAGGCCTGGGGCTACTGGGGGATCATTACTATTAAGGACAAACCTTCACAAAAGCAAGTCTCCACTGTGCCACAAAACTGTACAGACACCCACTCAAAACTAACTGACTTATGAACAGAACAGTTACATACTCCGCAAACTTCTGCTTGTATCATGGTGAGCTTTCATGTCAGCGAGGGTCCTAAAATACTAACTACCCGGCTTCATCACATGCAGGTGGTAGATTCAAGCCACACCATACGAGCTAGGAAAGTAACTGAAAATAGTGCACCTGCGTGCTAGATACCTCAGTGTCCCATCAGAAAGTGTTTGCCTTTGTGCAATGAGGGGCTGCATGTGGATGTCAAAACCACTAACGTATTTGGGGAATTTGGATCTGCGCTCGTTTCCATTACAGCATACGCCATTTGCGATTGAAGTCATTATCGGTGGTGCTCCAGGGAAAGGTAAGGTCCAAAATCTTTCCGTGCATGTAAAACAAAAAGTTCCAAATCAATTGACAAAAGACAGAAAACAACAAACGAATTGTGGTGGCCACAAAAGCGAAAAAACCCAGTGCTTTGCAAGATGCGTGCCCAAGTACCGGGAGTTATGCGTGCAGAACAAGTCAGGGCTCACGGCAAACACAATGAGCCCATCGTGTCTAGAGTGCATATTTATCCCTGCTCCCATGCTTTTAGATATTGCTTGACTGAGCTCCATATGGAGGCAGGGTTCTGGGAATGGAGACAAGGTGAAATTCAATCATACACAGTCCAGCTGTTGCTGACATTCATCATTTTAAGGAAAGCGCAACAGTTTAGAAAATATATAAACAAGATGTTCGGGAAGCATAATTTCCTGAGGTACAGAAATTTAGCAGCTAAATACCCATGACCTTTGCAGGGATGAGACAGAGAGGGGATTGTTACTCACATCATTTAGAAGAGGAGAAAAAAAGGATTTATTATAAGCAGTGATGCTGAACAAAAAATGATACCAGGTGACAAGAGGCCTGTTCATATTAAATTCAGGCTATAACGAGGCACTTCTGTTTGATTGAGAAGTCATTTAAGACTGCTCCTTAACTATTACAAGCTGATTCAACATCATTTTTTAATGGAATTAAATTATCTTTTTCACCTGGGAGGATAAGTCAAAGTTAAGACTATACGAGGCACAAACATACTTAAAACTATGAATCAAATACTCATTGGAATTAAGTAGGAACTGCTACTCCCATCATGCTTGAAGAAAGAAGAAGACTTCACCAGAAGTCCAGAGAACAGTATGGACACATTTATTCCAGATTTCTACCTTAGCTGAACAGAATCTGTCTTTGGTGATGTAAGGAATTTATTTTTAAGGCAATTTCTTCAAATCCAGATGCCAGAGCGTGAGCAAAAGGAAGCAGGGGAACACACGCTCCTCGCTGGGAGCTATTCCTGTCGCAGTGGGCAACGGCTGCATCACGTCCTGAACGGACTCTGTTGTCATCTTTGTCGTATGGATGAAGAAATACATGCGCTACTACTGCAGCCATCCCCCATCAGCATTATTTTTATGCACCCCGCTTCCTCGGCGGCCTTCCCTTCCGCGCAGCCCTGCTGTTCCCTTGCCCCTGAAGCAGAGCTGTTGGGGAAGGCTCAGCCGAGGGCAAGCAGCCGCACAGTCTGCCCACTTCTCTGCGAGGAAAACCATGGTTTCAGGGAAGCACCGGCCTTCGGCCTCACACCCGTGCTCAAGGGCAACACCTTGAATGTCAGTCTTGCCCCTTTGCATGGCCATCTGTACAATTTGCATTTTTCTGGAGCGCAGCTGAACCTAAGCGTAAATCAGCAGGGTTTGGTAAAGTCTAGCAGAAGACGGAAGGAATGAGAACTTGAGAGTACAGATGAAAGCGTGCCATGACACCCACCAAGCTACCACCACGCAGCGAGAAAGATTCCCAGGTGGAGAGCTTCTCCTTCTATTGACCTTTGAACATGTTTGAAATAGGCAGGTTAAAATCACCCGTTAACTTCCCAAAACGGCAAATGCTCTCAGAGGCACTTCCCTTCTTCCACTTCACCAGAGCAAATGGAAAGCCAGGCTCGCTCTCCTGCCTTCTCCGTGTCGGCAGTGGTTACCAAAGCAGCTTAGCTTCCGAGAAGCTTCGCTTGTCTCTGCCATAGGTGCATAACATACCTCAGTCTGACCTCCCTCTCTCCAGCGGATGACAGCCCTAACCTGGTCCAGGAGATGCGGGCAGAAGGGACACGCCACCATTGAAAGCTCTCCGCAGGCTTCTTGCTGTTCTCAGCTTTACCAAAACAGATGCTTGATTAATTGAGAAGCAGACAATTGACTCTGCACCTGGCTAAACTGTAACAGGAGATGAGAAAACGGTGGTGGGGTGGGAAGAGCCCCCGGGGCCGCTTGCCCAGCTGAGCTCTCCTCACGGTGAGCAGCATAATTCTGCTGGATTCAACAGAGAGTGGGCAGCTGGAGCGTTCACGCCGGGTGACGGATCTGAAGCCTGGTCTTGAGCCAAACTTAATCCATCCTGCAAGACAGCAAGGGCTAGTTCAGAACACTGAGCTCAGTTAATGATGAGCAGCAAAAGGACAATAAGATATCATGTGTTTTAATGACTGACTTGTTCAACAACATTGAATTTCCCAACTTCAATTTGGCCAACAAAGTTGAATGTGCAAACTTTATCCCTAGTGCAAACCCTTTGATGTCAGCAGAGCTACAGCAGGCATGAGCTGGATATAATATCCATAATCCGTTGTTAAAAACCAAGTGTTATTGTTCTGCACAAATCCCAGCCAGATGACAGTTATTGTCTGCCTCTGCAAAGAGTGGCTTGAGATGTGCGGTGCAACATTTCAAATGAGGATCGCAAAATTTAATAACGCCAGAAGCTAAGTGCCCCCACTTCTCCTCAGTTAATCCCATTATTCCTAAGGGATCCTGTTTCACGCTCGGAGAGGAGGTTGCAACACATCCCTCTAACATGGGATCAGTCCAACTTCTCTTTGCGCTGTGTGTTAAAACAAATGGGGGCAGGGAAGGCAGAGCTGGAGGACGCTGTCTTGTGGCACAGATTCTGCGCAGAATTATGACCTCCCTGCCCATCCCATGACCAGGATTGCCAACATGAACGCTGCTTTCCCAGGATGTGGTCCAGCAGCCACCCGGGAATCCAAGCCTTGGTGCCGGACGGACCATCTCGCTACCTCCTGTGAGAGGCCGATGCAACGCACTGTGACCAAGACCACTGCGGCCAGCCCACACGGTGCAGACGTGCTTCGGGCGCCGGGCAAACGCAGCATGCAGCGGCGGGTTCCAAGAGTCTCTTAACCCCTTTACAGCTTCTGCTAAGAGAGATGGGTCTGAGCCCGTGAGCAGAACCCAACAGCAACACAGCTTTCGCTTCTTGACTCGAGTTTAACCTTCAATTTGTTTGCTACAAACAATCACACAGCAAATTCAAATCTGCTTTCATTGGAGCAATTTTGCGTTCATTAAATCATTTCACATGACTGATTTATCTGCAACAAACAGTCATTTTAGTGTCAGTGTACCAGCATTTATCATAACCTCTGTGCGTGGTGAAACAAAGGCTAACAACATGGAATAGATACTTCACACGTAAAAGAGACAACATACCCCCTCATGGGAACAAGTGTATCGGAGAGCACCACAGATTAGGCCCAAGGCCAATAGTTGGGGCTTGTCCAGGTTTTTGCCGAGACACCTTCTAAAGCTACTTGCTGATCTAGGAGAACTCTTCTGAAGTGCAGATAAGCCAGGGAAGAAAATTCATTGCGTTCTTACTGGCCACCTCCTCCTCTCAGGGTTCGATATGAAACCAGCCTGTACAAGCAGGAGCGCGGCATCTGTTCTGCTTTCTGTGCCCCCAACAAAAACACATCGGGCAATATTTAACTGCAGCATCCATACCCGTGCTCAGCTTGGTCCTCAGTTCCAGACTGCAGGTGGGGCTGAGCATTTTCCAAGGCAGAAGGCTCCATCTAGGTGGGAAAAAAAACACGGACCCAAGAACAGTTTTACAGAAATTATGTTCAGAACAGCAAGTCTCCTGTCCCCCATCCAATTCCTGGCCAAATTTAGATTGAATTTCAAAATATTTAGTGATTCAAAGTCAAATCTTACATCGCTTTTTGGTTGTTTTGTCCTCCTCCTGGTGCAGTTCAAACATAATTTCTTTTTCCTTCTAGTTGTAGAGTGCTGGTAGCTTAGAAGTTTTCAGACAACAGAAAGAAAGTGGTTCTGGTTCCAAAAAAATTTTTCAGAACATGTTGTTGCTTGGCTTCCTTTATCTGGGGTGTGCATTAGAGTGGGCATCCAGATGTCCCCAGTCCCTGCCACCACATTGCAGCTGGGCCTACTATGAGCTACTGAAGCGTGAGTTTTCCAAAGACCCTTTGGACTTAGCAGTATTTCTTAAAAGAGAAATTGCGCTCCTGACTTCTTTAAGTTCCTCTGAAAATCTCAGACCTGAGTTATTTGGGTCTGAAGTGCCTCCTCTGGGGAAGATAACACAGCATACACACCCCACAGGCTTGGTGTGAAGGTTAATGATAGTGCAGCACGCTGAAAGAAAAAAAAAAGTCTAGTGAAAATTCAAATTAGCATTATCTTTTAGCAGGGGTGCAAAGCATTTCTCCACATTCTCATGACACATAGGACTTCACTTCCAAGAATCCCCATGGAGTTAATGGAATTGACAGATAGATGTAATTTAACTTGAATAACGGCATCAGTATCTCAAGTAACTTCTGCGAAGCTGTATCTGAATGGAAAAACACAACTAGAAATCACTTGATCCTCTAATTCTGCACAACTGACATTATGCTGGCAAATAGCTCTGTCTTCCCCCAAAGGTTTCGATGCCCAGCCCAGGTCTGCTGTCAGCCAGAGCTGTTCTCGCCACTTCCCCGGAGGCTAAATTTGTCCCTTTCTTTCTGCTGAAGACACTCTATCTTTAGGGCTGGGCTCGGATTTCTCGTGCCAGGATAATGAAAGGTGGCTGTGCCACATACGCCGCGGAACTCAACGCTCCTCTCAACGTGCCAGCCAAGGCAGGTTTTCACAACACACGCTCGCGCTTCCCGAGCACACGGCTACGCCACCACTATTAGTCAGAACCGGAATGGTTGCTAAATAAATCCTCTGTCACAAACAAAACAGGATTTAAGATGAGAAGCTGTGCAGAGTACCCAGAATTAACACCCGGGGAGATGGGGGCAATCGGTCTGAGGTTTTTGGTTGGATCCAGGCTCATGGTCCAACAAGGATATTTTTGTCTCGCTGCCTGGTAATAGAGAAATTAGGATGCTGCAAGCACAAACAAAACCAGGAACTAGCCCAGAAAAGCTGTCCATTCTTTCTACCTCTCTTTATATTTTACAGAGAAGCAGCATCTGAGACACTTTATTCCATCTCCAAAGGAGGGGGGGAAAAGCAGCATGGAATTTTACTGATATTCATTTTCTTATACTGATATTCATTTTCTTCTGGATATAAAGTGTATTGTCGTTAAACTGCATTTTTTACAGCTATACAATTAGTAAACAAGACACCACAAATGGGACAGTCTAAAAAAATTAAAATTTCAAAAAATGTAGAAAACATTTCGTTTCAAATTTGTGAAGATTTCCAGTGAAGAAGTAGCATTCTGAAATTTTCACTCTAAAAAGAAAACATTTTTTTCAGCTGCCTTAATGGGAGACAGAGCTGTCCACTTGGTGGTCAGAAGCTCAAATCTGATTCTAATCCCTGGTTACTTTAATAATGCCCAACTGCCGAGCCACCGCCTCTGTGAGAAGACTAGCTCTAGCTGCAGCAAAGGACAACAGAGTTTGAGAATTTTCAGGAACGGCTATAACTGAGCAGAACAACAGAATGTTGTGGGGTTTTTTTTTTTCCCAATTAAAAATGTCTTACTGAATCACATGATTTCTGTGAAAGCTGAAGCATTTTATATATTTTATATTTACAAGGTGCAGGTTTTCAGGTTCCAGAATGAGCTCTTTGTTCACATCCAGAGGGAATGAACTACAAACCTGAATTTTTCCACCTGAAAGCAATGTTTTTGACATGAATTTCCTTCAATTTCACATAAAACCATTTAAAAAAAAAATGTTTATCTCCTTCCAGCACGGGTCAGCAGCACACATTAGAAGCCTGGGAAGCATTCATGATGCATTTCTCAGGTTGCTTCCATTAGGGATCACGGTGGAAAACCCGCAAGCAGAGCAGAGGGAAGGAGGGAGCTAGACCCCGGGATCCCTGGAAGGTCTTCCCTGAGGCTCGCTTGCAGCAACATGGAAGCACTTGCGATATTGCTCTTAATGAGCTCTTAATGAAGACGCACCTCCCATACTGAAATCTCTGGGGAACTCCAAACAACTCATAAACTGTTTTTCCAGTGATCACCTAATACCAAAGGGAAGCCAGAGGCACTAGCAAAGGATAGCGGCTACAGATGTGCAGGGTAGGCTAGAGAAATAAAAAACCGTAAGTCAACTGGTGCAAACGGCATCTACAACCAGGAGCTGCTCTTACTGGTAACAACCGTTTTCCCCAGAGACTTCCAATGAGGTCTGGGCAGCAGTGAGCACCCCCAGAAAGCACTACTGCCCTAAGCAAAGCAGAAGAAAAAGAGCTTGTGGAAAACCAGGAGCGTTCCTGCAACAGCAGCGAGCACTCCTGAGCACTGCGCGTTTGAGATCCCGAGTTTCCAGGCCCTCTGGTAGTAAGTAATGTGCCAAGGCTGCTTCCCAAAGTGTGGCCTTGGAGTACAAAGACTTGAAGCTCTGCCAGCAAGGACATCACTCCCGAAAGCACGCGTGAGCAAGCAGGGGCACCACGGATGGCAGGCTGGGCAGGAGGGCTAAGGGCACGCCACCAGATCAACAGCTAAGCCCGGACAAGCAACCATGGATCCTGGAATGCAATTATGAATTTTCTGTCCCCAGCCATTAAAAACCCTGCTGTTCCCCACCCCGCACTGCACCAGGTCGGCTCTGCCGGGCTGGCTTGCTCAGCCCCGGTATCAGGACCGCTTCCATCTCTGCTCCAGCACAATAAACCCCCCCGTTTGGCCTCCTGGCATAATTGCACCTCTCTCTCTCCTTTTTCCAGGCAAAGTACTAGTTCACTGCGCAATGGGCATCAGCCGATCTGCAACCCTCGTCCTCGCTTTCTTAATGATCTGTGAGGACATGCCCCTCGCCGATGCAATTCGGACTGTGCGCTCGCACAGAGGGATCTGCCCCAACTCGGGCTTCCTCGAGCAGCTTCGGGAGCTGGACCTCCAGCTAGGAAGGGGGAAAGGCAGAGGAGCAGAGGCCTGCTAGCGCCAAGAGGGCACGTCTCCTGGCACCGGACCGAGAGATGCTGCCCTCGCCGAAGGCAATGCAAGGATGCCGTCAGGACTGCTCTGTACCCGCACCGAGAAACTCCTCGGGAAACAGCTGAGCGTCAGCAAGCTGGTAGGAGTTCGGTATGTATTTCTTGGATAAAGCCCACTAATTGGAAAGAAAATGAAATAAAAGAAGGATTCAAACCCACAGTTTCGCCCACCTGGGCCTGGTTATTTAACTACCTGTTGGGCAGGGCATAGGGAGCAGTTGGGTTTTCGTGCAGAATTAAAAGGCAGCAGAGTGAACTTGAAGAAAGACTTTTTACTTGCTTGTAATTGCATTTATATGGCAAGGGGGAAAACGGCTGAACTAGTAAAAAGGAAAAAGAAACTATGAGGTTTTTAAGCAAATCTTTAACGTTTCACATCCAGCTGGCGTAGGGCGAGACTTCAGGTTTTGCAAGCTGACACGCTCCTTTAGTCAGGCATGGTGACACCAGTCAGGAGCCAACTCTGACCTCGGGCTCTCTCTGTTACAAGCCACGGAGGCTCTTGCTGGGGCCTTCGCAAGTCCTCCTAGATTCAAGTCTGTGCAAATACTCCAAACTTCAGAAGACCACGAGCTCCTCAGGAGCCGACGCTGGAGGTCCCAGCCAGACGCCACAGCCTGGGGCACAGCTATGGCAGGGGCCCCGGCACAGCTATGGCAGGCTCAGCGGGAAGGAACGCGTCCCCTCGCATCGTCAGGCAAGGGGCTCATGCTGCGCTAGCCAGAAACATCCTCCTCCTCTTGGCTCGCAACCCAGCGCTCCAAGCCACATTCCCTGAATTTCCCCGTTTTAACGGAAAGCCAGAACCTAGTGTCATCGTGTCAGAGCAAAAATGAGCACTGCCTCTAACAAATCCAAAGCAGCAGCTCTGCATTTCGATTACTCTTTTACGCCCAATTGGCCACATTTAATCTTGTGAAGAACTCGAAGCAGATATTTGCTTCAGTGCAATTACAGCCACATACAGAACATTGGCAAATGCAAACAATATAGAATTTCCACTTGAAGGCAGATTAATTTGGTGTGATGCTTTCCCTTGAGAGGTCTTAAAGGCTTGCAGTTCTGAAAGTACCCTGCAGTTCGTATTTATAGCACTATAGATGCCGAATACAAAGAGAGAAGCATATACTCATTCTGTACTGAAGTTTCTTTTGCCTCCATACATTAAAAAAAAATTTAAAAAAATTAAGCGAGCATAGCACATTTCCACTGCATTTCTCATAATGCAATATGGAAACACAATTTCCCTGCAGAGCCTATAGAGAAATTCAGGTGGTGTTTCCACTTTTCTAAACATAGTAAGCAAAACACAAGCAATGGCACAGACTAGTTTCTTCTCGGAGAACAGAGAGATGGGTATTCTCTCCAGAAAGGGTCCCATCCTTCGAGACCGGAGTAAGGGGCCAGAAGGGAGGTCATAGCTAACAATGGAAAAAAAATCAGTGAAGTTATAGTTTTCACAAGCCTCTTGCTGGCTGCCACAGCAAGGAGGTCGGATTTCAGTGCGCATGGTGGCTGAACCCCTCCTGGCACTTGGGTCTCCTCCACCTCGCCCTTCCTCGAGACCCTTTTTTATGGCAGACCGGGCTGAGGCTGTGCTGTGAGTAGCTGTCTCAGTTGCTGGACTAACCACCCCCTTCGAGTTTCCGTCACCCAGCCTGTGCCAAGCCAAACGGCATCGCATTAAAGCACAAGGAGCAAATGAAACACAATGGTCCAAAACCTCCGTGCATTGAGCCCATCAGGAAAGGTCATAATTCCCAGCGATTTGCACATCTGGAAACATCTGCGGTTGCAGGGTTGAATTTCAAGTGAACAACTTCTCTGAGTTACTGAGCCTAAATTTACCCCAGCTGAGGCTTGATGGCCACGGCGGGACAATTTCAGCTGGCCAGGGACAGTCGTAGATGCCCTGCCATGCATGACCTGCGGCTGGGAGCAGCGAGTCCGGCTGGAGCGGCAGCATGCCCGGAAAGCCGGGGCACTGGCAAAGCAGGACTGCTGGCTGGATGTCACTGTCACAGGTGTATACTGGAAGCTTCCTCTTCAAACTGGAAAACCAACCCGACCAGACAATGAAGAACAAGAGGTCAAAAACCACTGACCCAAAGACAATCAAGTAGCCACCCAACCCCAGCACAAAAAAGAAATTCCATTTCTGGAAGAGCCCGCGCTGGTTCCAGTGCTTTGCATCGCTGCAAGGTTCAGTGAGCAGGATGCTGGTTCTCCCGTCTCCTTCCAGACTCTCCACCCTCCAGAAGACGACAGCACCTGAGCCCACCACTACCGTCCCTCTGTGCCAGGGCTGCAGCACCATGGAGGGGGCAATTACACGGCCCTAATCTCTGACCCACGTGTTGCACACTGAGGTGGCTTATTGTCAGTTAGTATTGTTAGTTAAGCAACAGTCTCTTAAAATTACAGGGGGAATCAAGACAAAGAAAATGAAAACACTATTGGGGGCGGTTCCAGGTCTATCTCGTGCTACAATTTTGACATCCAGAGTTGCTGACTCTTTGCAAGCCACCAGCTCGGCCCGAGAAACAAGGAGCAGCTTCTTTCCACCACAGCCATCCTTGCTCCCAGCAAGGCGCTTGGTCCTGGCATGCAGCGGTCAGCGTGGCTGCTGCTGAGCCGGGGGAAGAAGTCCCGCTCGCTCGGCCGCAGGCGTAGTGCCTCTGCGGCGCCAGCTCTTCTCCCACCTGCCCCGCGCCCTAGCTAAATATCACCTGCCAAAAGCACCGCCAGCTGAGCCTGCAGGCAGGGCAGGAGCAATCAGAACAGCGGATTCAGACCTTGTAATGGACAGAACAGCCTTGATGCTACCATCTTTTCCACGCCTACTTCCTACCCAGCGCGGAGCCAAGGCTGAGGTTTATTTCCGAACGCCCGTCCATCCCGCGCGCTGGCGCAGGAGCGGTGCCCAGCGCTGCGGCGGAGCTGGTGTGCGTCCCACACAGCAAGCCTGCGAGCGAGGACGGGCGTCTCGGCCCCTTCGCGCACAGCAAGGCACCCGGAGCCTGCCTGAGCTGGAGCAGGGTGTTTGGGGAAAGCACGACGGGATCGCTCTCCGGCTTCCACAACCGGCACGAAAGCACGAGAATAGTTTTCTCACATAGGATACCTTGCCTTCACCAGCTTTTCCTCCCAGACTTCCAGCAGTGATGAACGCAGAGAATATTGCTGCCGGCACGTCTGCGCCACGTTATTTATCCTTTGGATTTGCACTTGGGGTTTTATTTGTAAAAGGAAAGTGGGATCATAAATCTGCTCTGCAAGGAGCCAAGGGAAGAGAGGACAGAAATTTTCAACAAGTTGCATGGAAGGAGATGATGCCAAGGGCAGGTTTCCCATGGCAACAAAAGCCAGGCAGGATACTGCCCAGGTCCACACCATGTGTCATGGCAACAGCTAAGAGCGTCAGCCTTTTCCTTGCAGGTGCATTAGTTCATTCCTCCTTGCACGGGTAGCTTTAGGGCTGCTGCAGCAGCGATGGCTCTCCTATAGGACCTTCTTAATTCATAGCTTTTGCCCTTTTTCTCTTACCAAAAAAACCAACCCAACCAAAAAATCCTTAAGTGGGACCAGAACAGACCACAAAGCTGAAAAACTCGGTGTGACCGAGACTAACTTGCCAGGGTTGACTACCAAGCTGCTGCACAAGTCTAAGTTGACGATATTCCAGAGTCACCATTTTGTTCGTGGCCTTCAGCGTACACAGGACCGCTCTTGGGACACAGCACCCTAAAAAACACACGGTGCCTGCGGACGAGGATGGAGGCAAGCAGTCCCATGGGCAGATCCCCTGGTTCTGCATTACACAGGCCTGCTCCACTTCAGCCAGTGCTCCCAGTTCTGCTTGAACTCCGGCCCCGCTCCCCAAGCCCAGGTGACTTTCTTCTGCACAACCCCCATGTCTAGATCAGATCTTCCCAGCTCCTGCCAGCCATTCCGGAATTGCAAAGCACTGTCACCTCCACTGACCAGACGTTCTTCTCCTGTTGTTATTTCTCGTCTTGTATTTCCCTGATAACAAGGCTGAGCTGTGTGTTACTGTGGAGAGGGGCTTCAAAATAACTTGTGCTTTGCAAATTTACTTCATAGTCTAAGGTTCAAAGAATCTATGCAGCTCCTGAAGCCAAGTCAAACAGGAATCCAGGGCCTGCGAGGCTTTCAGCAGTGAAGTTTTCTTTAGGCTACAATTATTTTGCTTAGAAACTAGACCCGTGATCTGTTGCAGGAGGCTGCAGTTTAATAAAGTCAAACAATTTGCTCTTTGCCATGTATTTGTGGTATGAGTACTGTCGAGTTACACCGCTCCCCCTCGCTGCTGCCTCCTGGAGCCTTGTCTGTTTATACACAGAGAGCACACCTAAAAATACCCAGCGATGTGCACTGAGGATCGGTGGCTCTGTCTCTCCTCCTCCCGCTTCTGACTCCATCACACCCTTACATCATCTTCAGGCTCAACAACCCCGGTGGTTCAAGCAACCTTATTGCTGCCTCGCCCTCTAAAAAAAAATTCTTGTTTTCCTTCCTCCTCCGCCAGCAGCCACCCTGCCACAGAGCAACTGCCATGACGTTGCCATGCCATGTCCCATCCAGTGTTTTCTCACTTGATCACTAAATGACAGTGAAGCCCACATCGGCTTTATTGAATCCTTGAGTGCACCCACATGGCTTTGCTCACTTTTCAGACAATAAGAAGGTGCCAAGTCGGGGCAAAAGTAGTACCAGAAAAGGAATAACATCTTTTACTTTACTTCATGAAGGGGCATTAGAAGACTGCAAAACAAGACAGAGTACTCTCCAAGACTAACTTTTGAAACCACTCTCAGGGAAGTTACCCTGGAGACAAAACATCTCCCATTAGAAATACAACTGCAAATAAAAATATTTTCACAGTAGTACAAATAGAAAATCTGCACAGCGCAAATCCAGCCAG